CCACCAGGGTCCCTCTTGAATCTTTTGCAGGAATTGTGGCTCCTCATGTCAGCTGGATCACAGGGCCGGCTTCCCAGAGCCCTTCACTGTTTTTAACTCCACTGACTTTCTCACTTGTTTTCTGAGGAACTTGGAAAAGGGGAAGGAATTATTCACACAGAAGTGTGTATGAAGCCTAAATAACATCTAAAAAATTTTTTTTCAAAAGTATAGTAAAGTTTTAACCATAAATGGAAGACGAGAGTAATATTTACTTAAATTTCTTACAAGCATATAAAACTTTATGTGAGTGTTTATATAGAGACGTTAACTATCAGCATATAGTATTTATATTTGGGCAAGAAGGGTTAAATCAAATTTTTAATTTAAATAAGCATAGTTCCTTTAAAGATCAATAGTATTTATACTCTGAAAAGAGTACCAAGCTTAGTTCAATTATTTATTTGTCCATTTTCTTCCTATTGTTTCTCCTTTGGGGAAAAGTGGTGTGTTTTTATTTTGGTTTGGTTTTGTTTTGTTTTTTGTCATTCTGATTCACTAAATTTGGGGATGGTTTTATTAAAGTATATTAACTTCTTTTTAACCAAAGCTTTCTGAATATGACCAGCCTCAGGTGCTAGCGTATTAAAGAGCAACTAAACCTAATTCCAGTGTCCATTTGTGAAATGCTAAGAGCTAACTGAACTTCTCTAAGGGTGAGAGAGAACATAATGTTGAACTTAAAAGAAATTCCTTTTCCCAGAAAGGATTTTGCAAGTACCTAATGCAACAAATGATGCTCTAATCTCAGTAATAGTCACACCATGGTGACACTGCTTTTAGAGTAAACCAAGATGCATTGACATGATGCTGCTACTAGGTCTTTCTGAAAGAAAAGCAGGCTGTGGACTTTAAGAGCAAAGAACATCGTCGGTGTGGGAATGGAGTAGTAGAGGCGTGCTCGGTGAAATGAGGGAACAACTAACTATTATTTGGATAGAAGTTGGGATCTGAAGTTAAATTCAGTTGAAAAAAATATGAAGTACAGAAAAGGATGTAAAAAACTTTGCATTTTTATTTTCTTCCTTATTGTAGAAACACTTGTGTGATGACACAAACTACTTGGTGATACAGAACAATGATTCTTAATAGTTCTTATAATTAAAGTTTCCTAAACATAAAAGTCCAATAGTATTTTAAAGATTGGAATCACATCATTGTTATCCCTGCTGCTGTAATGCCTTTTATACAACTTTTTGCATAAGGTAAATAAGGCTTTTGGACAAAGCCTGAATACCTTCAGTTACAATGATGTCCAAATGGTCGTATTATATTGTGAAGAAACTGGCCTTGGTCACATGAAAACAAAAGTGCAGATGAAAGTGCTTTTTTGGACAGTTTGCAAATTGTGTTAAAAGCTACGGATTTTTTTTAAAGTGTTCAGCATCCTAATTTGCGTTAAAGCTATGGATTTTTTTAAAAGTCTTCAGCATCCTAATTCACCCTTCCTAACTTAAGGAAAACATGACGTAAGACACTGCTTCTAAGTTTGGTTGTTCTTTATAGTGTGGATACCAAGATCTCTGTGAGCGTATGGAGGTGGGCTGAGGGTCAGGTGAGGAGGGAGCCTGTGTGTGTGTGTGTGTGTGTGTGTGTGTGTGCGCGCGTGTGGTTTTTGTGTGTATGATGTGCGGGTGTCGGACCGCTTCTAGGCTACTAAGTGTCAATGGAAAAGAAAATGTATTCAAAATACTTAAATCAAAACTAGAAGATGGAAAAAAAAAAGATTTATTCTATACAAAGCCTTGTCTGGACCACTTTAGAGAGACTTCTATTTTTTTAACCCTTCTATAAATATTTGATGGCACTTGAAATATTCCTGCAATAAAATGTGATTTGTGTAAAGAAAAAAAAAGATTTTGTAATGTGAAACAAAGAAAGAAAGTAATGTAATTTTCTAAAAAAAAAAATACAAACAAACAAACTTTGTATTATTTTCTTGATGGAATTTGTCTATCTGTCTTTGGAAAACTTTTTATTTCATTGAATGTGCCATAGTAGAAATATGTGTTTTTAGTTTTAGACTAAGGAATAGCTGTTTGTGTTCCGACATTCCAAAATGCAAACCAACCTAGTAGAGTCTTTAATGAAAAGGTTTAAGTAGGCTGTAAGCTTCTTTCCTTGTTGCTTTTTTGCACATGTCCTTCATTCCTCTCTAGTGCAATATGTACATAGAGCACTTGCGGGTGGACCTTGATCCCTCAGGGAAAAATACATATTTGTACAGTTGTTTTTTTTTCCTTTTGTTTTTGGCTAAGGAATGTCGATTGAATCACTTGTTATTATAGAGGGGCAGCCAGATAATAATCCTAAAGCCACTGTTTCAAACATTGATTGTTTAAATCATGTGTCTTTCCAGTGCTATTATTTTAAGATAATAATAATAAAAAGTTATTTTCTGACAGTTCTTTGTGCTGATTGGTGAAAAACAAAGGGTAAATAAGCACCTTATGATTGACTTACTGTGAATGACAATCCATCTTGCTATCAACAATAGAAGCCCTATCACTTTGGAGTTGGGGTAAGAGTCAGAAACAATGTGCTCAGGGATCTTCTAAACTCTTAAAACAGGGTGGCCAGTACTACTGGGACAAATTGTGTTTTTTATTATTCATAATAATGATAATACTATCCCTCCAAGGCACAAGTGAACTGTATAGAATCGCGTGTGTGTGTAAACTCTCCACTATCATCTCATTTTCTTGAGTTCAAAACTTATGTGTTCTTCAGTCTCGTGTACTTAAAAACGCTGAATAACTTGCAAAGCAGTACAAAGTCATGCCGGTATGTTCAAAAGATAAATGAATGGGTAATGTACCAACAGAGAGCATCACTCAAAGGACAGTCCTGCATACTCCATTTACCGTTTCTCTAACAAGTAAGATATTCATGATAAATATATTTATAGCATTATATATTAAAAACTATTTCCGATTCGACATAGTATGGATAAAAATTTTAGAAACCAGTAATGAGATGAGAGCCCTGCCTATCAGTGCAGTGAGAGAGGTAAAAGATGAAACACGTCTTTTAAATACCAGCAGATAACTGTTATTTTCACTGTGTTCTCCTTTAGAAGCAAACCAAAAAATCCCTTTATGTGACACAATTCTTCTACTTCCACATTTGTAGTTTTTATCTACTGAGAGCTAATGTTTAAAGACAAACAAAACACACTTGGATAACAGCAACATGAGCCAGCTTTCAGGGTTCCATTTTACATTTTTGAAATACAGTTTTGTTCTCATATTTCCATATATTATTTTCCATAAAGTCAGCGCACCTCAGTGTAATTGTTGGTTTTGATTTTTCTACACCTGTGATACACATTCAGAAAAAATCTACATATTTTCTTCCTAACACAGGAGAGCATAATTTGGGAAAACTTTCAATGTCGTTTAGATAAAAAAGAAAGCGTTATCTTGTTATTTTTGATAAAGACTACAGAAAATGGCAGAAATCTCTCTCTCTTTCTCTCTCTCCATGCGTATACATATATACACACACAGAGGTTATTGACATTTTTACATATTGTAACATTTTATTGCCACTTTTTATTTATAAAGATATGACACAGCAGAACCCTACAAAAACAACTTTATACTATAGTTCACATTATGTGCCCGGAAATGCAATTGCACAGGAAATCTTATCTATTGCTAATAGTCTATTGATATAGATCTTCATTCTATCTCTAAATACTAGTATCGTTAAAGAGAATCCACCAGATTTTATTAGAGAGACCTTCCTATTATTGTTTATTCTTAAGAGATGAGAAAGCTGGCGAGCAATGTCTTTACAGAGCAATTGGGTTCACTTCTGGGTCCATTTGCTTGTTTGTTTGTGTAAGTGAGATCAGTTTTACCAGGCTCTCAGAACAATTTTAAAAATAACCCAGAAGCCTGGTTTCATGCCAAGGAAACACCGTAGATGGGGGATCTCCATATTTAACCAGACCCTCAGAACTTAGAGCAATAAAGACATTCAGTCATTTATTTATTTATAAATGAACGACAGAATATTCAGTCCAAATAGAAACCACCTTTTTTCCACAATGCAACATAGCATGGACTCTTGTGTTGAGAAAGTGAATCTATTTTAGATACATGCCTAGAGAATCGTGTTTGCTGTTGACGTTTAGCGTGTTTGCCACATCAGCAGTATCACACTTCTTTTTCTTTTTTCCTTCTAAGAACTAATGAAAGAGAGCTTGCTACTAGCTTTGACATGTGGCACATGACATTGTGTTGTTCTCTGCGAGCAACTAAATTCTCTCCAGTGTTTGTGTGTGATTCCTTGCTCACTCGTTGTTACTTTAATGTGGATGAATACTATTTCTAGGAACTTGGTTATCATTGAACAGATTGCAGACGTAAATGCAGATAATTCTTGAGCAATATAGTGAATATGATTTCACAAAAAAAATCCATATGTACTGTACACATCTTCCTGAATCCAAAAATTCTCTTCTTATCCACAGTGGTTCGAAATCTCATATAAAACAGTGGTAAATTTTTAACCATTAGGACATTAGCTGGCTGCTTCTTTAAATGTACCTGTATTGTCTGCCTGCTCCTTTTGTGGAGATGTGTTTTTGTATTGGATGTTTGGGCCAATGGGAGGCTTCAAGCTACAACATATTTTCCCAGTTTAAATATATTTAACATATGACAAACCCCAGACAAGGCTTTTAACATGTAGAAAGAACTGCAGTGTTAGGTGGTTTATTTGCAAACCGTTTTCAATGTTGTCCATTTTTATGGCACCTTTAACAATATTCTTGTTTCCAAAGTACAAAAAAAATAGGTTAAATAATCTAGCCATAACTGAATGTCAAGCAATAAAACAAATGACTTTTGTGCATAGACTTAAAAAAATACAAATTTTAGACATCTGCATGTAAATGCAATCTCTTGTTTACTGCTTTCTTCAACTTGAGCAATTGATTCCTTATTTACTATTAACTTAAGAACTTGTAATGGCCTGTAAACATTTTCTCTCTTACTCTTCTTTCAAATTTACCTTCGTCCCTGCTTTTGAGTCATAATATTTAATGTTGTTCTGCACATCTCTATACAGTTAACTTTTTGGCTTTCATTCTGTAAAGATAAGAAAATGTTATATTATAAACAGCCTACTCAGTGCAAATATTTATCTGTTTATCAAATCCACAATATGCTGTATAATACTGGTTTTACTATATAATCTATTTTAGACATAGCTGTTTAGAACTAGAGTGTGCTATTTTTGTGTTTTTCTGATGTGTGGTGCTAGATAAGTTACTTTTGTGAACAACAACAAAAATCCCTTTTATTCGTAGACAATACCACCTTTGGGTCTTGTTAATTTCACTGAGTATAACTATATATTTGTATATATATACATATATATATATATATCTACCTGTGCCCAACTGGCAGCTGTATCAGAGTGCTGGATTTGGGACATGCTTTTCTCTTTAAATACATAATATCATTATATAAATTATTCTAGAGTGTATTTAATTAGGATAAAATTACTTCCTTAGTATGGATATTTGACATCTATAGGGTGAATTTGTTTATAAATATGGATATATGAAAACCTATTAGCATTTACTTTATGTTTGCTACTTGGCTTTATGCCATATCTCCTGAGCTGAAAAATAATTTTCCAGGCCTTCAAGATCCTAAAGAAACACTCTAGTTTAATGGAGTAATACTTTTTTTTCTTACTAAGGAATTATATTATTGGCACCTGAGAGAGTTGTGTACTTAGCTCCTATTATAGATAATAGGCATTTATATAAAATATCCTTGGTGGCTTGATGGCAGAATAAACCCTTCCCCTCCTACCTGAGCCATGAAAAGTACGGAGACGTCCACTGTCATGGCAGAACATGGGCCATAAAGCAAATTCAACAAGGGGTGTTCTGTTTTAATAGGACCTCAACCAGTTCCATGAACTGAGTGAAGGACGTTCATTTTAAAAGTCATTTAATAATAAGCTTAGTTAAACTCTTTCACCTATTCTCCCAAGACCTATTGGCATTGTTAAAAACCAAGTATATCAAATATCTAACTAAGGATGTAGTTAACCTTATTAAATATTGATTAGAATTGTTCTGTAATATTACTGAATTTGTAAGATCTTTAGCAAAGATTTTTGAGCAATTTATAAATATAGAGCAAATGTTTCTGTTTACTGCACTTTTTGTAATTGAAGGTGATAAATTCTCAAGCCATGGTTATTGGCTTCCATGCACTGCATATTTACCCACAATTCTAGACAGTTTCCATTTTTATGGAAGAGTTGCTATTACCTTAATCATAAATGCAATCATGTGGTTAATGAGAGCTAATGCTAATAGTTAACCTTTTAAAGTGAATTGGCCACAGTTTAGGAAGAAATCTCTTTTAATACAGAGTATGTCATTCCTTATTGCTTCACTTAGAAGGAGACTGAAAGCTTTGTTTTTTTTAAGCACTATTTAGTATCCTAAGCTTCCTGAGGGTAGAGATTGTATCTCTTTTTGTCTGCACAATGGCCAGCACATGTCAGCATTTGATCATTGTTAAATGACAACAAGTGTTCCCCAATTCCAACTTTTTTCCTGGATTCTTTTGGTAAATTTATAAAATATGGCAAGCTGTATGGTTAACACTTTCTTCTACAACCAAGTATTAAAGCCACATTTGAAAAGACCACATGAAATGCTGATTCTAATTGTGTGTAGGTCTTGAGGATTAAGCACACAAATTTCACAAAACTCTGTGAGTAACAAACTCAGCCTTCTGTAAATATACATGCAAGTCTGGAAACGATAATACTGTACCTATAAATATATGCTGTCTGTTTTGTGTACAGTATGTAAAAACTCCTTTTCTGCCACACTAAAAATGCAAGCCATTTGTGGGAATCCTAAAAATAGTATTATACTAAAACTTTGCTAATGATCTTTACTAGAGGATCATCTGACTTTTCACTTACATTGGGTTTTCTTTTCAACTCACTCTTACAGTAGTCTGCTTATTTCCAGCTGTTTATTTTATTGAGTCCTGAATTTAAAAAAAAAATATTTTGATTCATTTTGTAAATACAAGCTGTAAAAAAAGAGAGATTTAATGTTGTCTTTTAAATACTCCGATTTTCATTCTAATATGAATGTTGTTATATTGTACTTAGAAACTGTACCTTTAATATTACATTACCTTTATTAAAAGTGCATTGAACACATCAATTTTAGATGTGCTTTATGTACTGTTATCCTATAATAAAACTTCAGCTTCTAATGGAACACTTGCCTTGTTTTTCTTCTTTTTTCTTGGTTGCATTGTACATAGTTTCTAGCTTACATCTTATCTCCAGAGAATGGTCTAGCACAACCTTGCTCCTTGGAGTGTGGTCCACAGACCAGTATCACTGGCATCACCTGTGACCTTGAACTTGTTAGCAATGCAGAATTCCAGGCACCACCCCAGACCTACCAAATCAGAATCTGCATTTTCATAAGATCCCCACGTGATTGGTTTGCATATTAAAATCTGAGAAGCAGTGGTCTACAGTACAGTAGAGTACTTAAAAAAAAATAATCCATTTCCATTTTGCAGGGAAAAAAGACATATACAAGGATCAAGCTACCCTTTTGATCAGAGAAGGCAAAGAAAGAAGTTTTAACTTGGGAGATACCATCTCTTGATTGGTAGTACCTGCCAGAAATGCTGAATTGAGGATTCTGAGACTGCTTCCTGTCTCAATGAAGAAGGGAGCCATGACTGATTAGTGATGCCTGCCCTGAGTGTAGAAGGGGAGAAATCCTGAGTGCACACCATACTTCGTCATCTTTGCTTTAGAAACCACTAAAATGGAATGCCAGAAATGATGCCAAAGACTTAAAAAAATCTGACTTTCCCTGGGCTATCATCGCCCCACCCCAGCCCCACCCCTTCTCTTGAGTAGATCATATAGGACTGAACCAATACCTTGAACATCAGCTAAGTGTCACACTATTTTAACTGCAAAAGCTCATCGTAAATTATATTTAAAGTAATTTCAAGGACATTCAAATTATAAGATATTCTGAAGTCAGAATAAAGGCAACTGAGTTGGCATTTTCCTCCACACGTGCTATAATACCTGTGGATCCCTTGCACTCTGCAAAGTAAATTTGAATTGACCCCCAAAGTTGCAGCATGTAACAAACAGTCCCTAATCTTGCTTCTATTTCCAACTTATCTTGAGGAAGAGGAAGAATGAGACTGTGCATGTGAAATATTTGTAGACTGCCAAATTCTATATAATTATAAATATTCACCACCTTACGCTATCTTGGGAAATTGAGAGTTAATGGAAATAGTTCAGTTCGAACTATGAAATCTGTCACCTCTTGGCCTTTGACCACACCCACGCTAAACTCCTTCTGATAAAAACAATGGTTTACACTCACCTCTCCATTGTGGATTAGCTTGCTCCCCTTCAAGAAGGGTACTTAAACGAGAGTCTAAGAGGGACTTCTGACAGTTCTGTTTGTAATGATCTCATGGGGGAATCAGAAAGGAGAACAAGTGTCAGGTTATTAATAAACTCTTGGAGAGAAAGCAAAAGTAATAGACTAGTCAGTAAGACCTGACCATAGGTTTGTCTTGGTTGCTACCGTTACTACGAAACTTTGTTTCATGAGACAAGATCAAAAGGTCTAGCCCTTCACACTTCGACTTCCACTTTCAGTGTGCACTTGGATCAAACGGGCCAGTGCAGAGCAGGCCTCTGCTTCTCATGACAGGTCTGTGAAAGGACCACGCTCCTGTGCTGGGGAGAGTAACTGCTGACGTGCCGAGATGCAGCTCTGCACGGTGGCTTCCCCTTTTGAACAAGAAACTGAAGATGGGGTCCAGTAGTGCTCAAAGCGACAGTCCAGAACAGGCCGTTAACGTCACGTAAGTCACCAGAGACAGGAAGGATAAAAAGATGTCTCTGTGCTTTAGGGATTTCAAGAACATGGGAGTAAGGAAGGAATTTTTGTCAAGAGAACCCTCCTGAGTCCCAGAAGAATCACAATGATGGACTCCCAACTTTTCTTAAAGCCTCTTGCTAGATTAACAGGCCCTCTATCCTTTCACTATAACATCAGTTGTGAGCTGGAGAAAAATCCTGGTTTTTTCCTATAGTCATTTATCTCTGATGTTGGAAAGAGATAACAAACCAGTCTTTGGGCATTTCCTTTGATTCTGGATTTTTCTTCTCCTCAGGAGGGGAAATATTGACTCCAGTGAAATAAAGTCATGTCTCAGCAATTCATGTGTTGTTTACCCACTTGGACTTCCCAAACAACATTTTGAATTCCAAAGTGACTTCCTCTTTGTGGAGGAGAAGTTGCTTCGACTATTAAATGTTCTGTGCTTAGAGAACAAAAATTTTAATGTTAGGCTCACCCCAAATTAATTAGGATAGTAACTTTCTAACAAGTCTCACATGTACCTCTTCTACCATTCTTTCTTTATCCCTCCCATAAAATAGACACTACATTCTAACGACAAATATAAATAATTGTTTAATTATCCTGCTTGGAATTATCTCTACTTTCTCAAACTCTCTCTGTGAGATGGTTAGTCACTCCCTAGAAAAAAACAGCGTTCAGATGAATAGTTATTTCTGGGTCTTTTTTTAGGCCAAAGACCACGCAATACAGAACATAACAAAATATAGTTTAGAAAAGATTATCTTCTGAGTAGAAAAATTTGAACACTTTAGCCATTCTGTTCTGATGCAGCATATCCTGCGTCAGAGTATTTTGCTGGTTTTCAGGAGTGATGATAATTCCCTCCCCACTTGAAATACCATTTATTGCTGAAAAGCCTGATTTGAACAAACCACCCCTGGTAACAGAATTCCCCCCAATAATTTCTGAATCAATTACTAGATTGAAACCCCTTTCAATGGAGGGCTATTTCTGGATTCTCGTTTTGAAAGGACCTTATAGATGATTGTAAATTCATGAAGCAAATCTCTGACTGAAGGGGTTACCACACCACAAACTCTCCAAGGCCAAGTTTACCCTAAATCAAGCAAAGGAACCTCATTAGCTGAGGGATAGGAAAACGACTTGGTACTGATAAAAAATAGACGATCTCACACATTTCTCTGTCTTGATTGGGTCCACAAGAAGAAATACACATCTAGTGATAACTTAGCCAGGGGGTTACAGTTTTAAGAGTTCTTTTTAAAATTTTGGTTCCAATGAAACATTTTATAAATTCAAAATAAGTATCTACTGTTATACATTCTTTGAAAATGAAACTGGCTTCCCACTCAACTTCTGAGTTTGTTTCTCAGTTTAGCAGAAATGGAAAACTGAATCTTTCTTCTGCTTAAAAACCCACAGAATAAAATGGTACAATCACTTTGGAAAACAGTTTGGCAATATCCTATAAAGTTAAACATAAATTACCACACAACCCAACAATTCCACTCCCAGGTATCTGTCCAAGAGAAATGAAAACACAAAGTTCCCATGAAGACTTGTATACAAATGTTCATAGCAACATCACTCATAATAGTCAAAAAGTGTAAACCATCTAATGTCCATCAACTGTCAAACAGATAAACAAAATAGGGCATATCCATTAGTGCGCTACTATTCAGCGCCAAAACAACAATAAATACCTGCTACAGCATGGATGACGCTCAAAATTATTCTGCCAAGAGAAAGAATCCAGATGCAAAAGACTATGTATTGTATGATTTCATCTATATGAACTGTCCAGAAAAGGCAAAGCTATATATCGTGAGAGCAGATTCGTGTCTGCCTGGAGCTGGAGGTGGGAAGAGAGATTACCTGAAAGTGGGCACAAAGGGTTTTTCAGGGTAATGGAAATTTGCTAAAACTTGGTAGTGTTGATGGTTCCAAAACTGTACATGTACTAAAAAGCAGTGAATAATACAACTACAATGGGTGAATTTTGTGGTACGTAGATTATACCTGAATAAAGCTGTTTTAAACACACACGCACACACACACACAGATTTCCCATCACCCAGGGAATAAAGTCCAAATTCCAAATTCTCCAGCAAGGCATGAAGGCCCTCTATGGTCCCTCCTCCCCTTTCCAGTCCAATGGCCTTCATGTGTCCCACACAACAATGCAGTTGCTTTTCCCCTTCCCAGAACTGTAGCACTGTTTCACACGTCTGTGCTTTTTCACCCCTGAAAACCCACAGTCCTTTCTCTTCCCAGTGAACTCCTACTCATTCTTCAAGACCCAATGTAAATTAAACAACTTCTCTGAAGGGATCTCTAAATTTTGTTTAGAGTTTGTGTCAGTCAAAATGAGTTCCTTCCTCATTGTGTTCCCATAGAATCTATAATGTGTGTGTATCCCTTTTTTTTTTTTTTTTTTTTTGCTTAAGGAAGATTAGCCCTGAGCTAACATCTGTGCCAACCTTCCTCTACTTTGTTTGTGGGATGCGGCCACAGCATGGCTGACAAGTGGTGTAGGTCCACACCTGGGATCCAAACCCATGAACCCTTGCTGCCAATGCAGAGCACGCCGAATTTTAGCCACTATGCCACAGGGCTGTCCCCACAATGCACTTTTTACATATTACTTCTAATTCTCACAACAATCCTGTAGGTGAGCTATTCTGTCTCGATTATCTTGGTGAGGAAATTGAGGCCCAAAGAGGAGACACAACATCTCTAGGATCACTTGCCAGTAAGCAGGAAAACTGAGATACAAACCTGTATCTGCCGGACTCCAAAAATCCATGTTCTTTTCACTAAACTGCTTCTGGTTTACAAAGCAAAGCATAAAGAAAGGATGCATATATTCACCATACTGTAATGGCAAAAGTTAAGAGATCTGATTTTTAGTATCGGCTTTATCACTGATCATGCAATGTTCAAAGTAACAACAATCTGGGCCTCCGTTTCCTTATCAGGAAAACAAGAGGGTTGGACTAGATAACCTCCAAAGTTTTTTCTGGCTCTAAAAATTCTGACTCAGTGTGCTATCTTTCAACCACCAGAACTCAGATACATCAGACCAGAACATACTATTTGATGATAATCTGTAATCTCAACCCAGGCCATGTCTGGTGATGTTACCATACCACACTACTATGGGCTGGTGCATCCCAGCAGCATGAGTGCTTGAACAATTCTTGAGCAGTTGCTGAAGACAAGGACAGGACTCCCACCTCTCTCTGACTGCATGCTTTGTGAGATAGTGCTCAACACTCGAACTCCTACGCTGCCTTGACATCCATCTCTGTTCCAGCACAGGCAGTCAACAGCACTCACCTAATAAGAAATAGTACTGCACAGTGCCAGGCATCACACCAGTTGATGTGCAAGCAGTGACAAGCACTGTCTCCTAACTGGCCTCTTCCCTGCAACTCATTCAATGCCTTGCCAGATAAACTTTCCTGTAACATAACAGAGAAGTCTTTTTCTCCCCTCAGCATTCCAATTCTTATACAATAAAGTCAAAATCCTGTCTGGCTTATAAGGCCTTCTCTAGACTGGTCCCAACCTATTTTTCCAAACCCTTTTCCTCCACTACTTTTCATCGACTTTGCATTCCAGGCAAAACAAACTACCTAAGGGTCCCTTTATTCAAGGGAGATTTTTAACATAATTTTTACGTAAACATAATTTTAAACGCTATCAGAAATTATTCTAAAATTTAGAACATGCTTTCCTGCTAGCATACGAACTGGACTCTATTCGTGAAATAGGTTTATGCAGCTCCTTGTGCTGGTCTCTGTCTAGAATGCCCTTTCCCATCGTTCACATACTTCAAGTTCTTCAAACGAGCGGGCAGGTTAAGTCCAATGTGCTGACATATAAGTACACAAAAGATGTCTTTAGCTATTCAAAGCTGCTTTCTGTCCCTCTCACTAGTAATTTCCCTCCCTCTGTAAACTCACACAATCTTTTCCAGAAACCTCTCTTATGTAGCTTATCACTCTCTGTTTTATAAATTATTTAAGGTGAATGTCTTAGACTCCCAATGATCAAAAGCTCTTTGAAAAACCAGTATCTGGTCTTAGTCCTACGTGTACCCAGCTCCAAGCACAAATTATAAGCCCTCAATAAACCTTTCCTTAACGAATGGGAATAAAACTGGTGGAGAGCCAGAATGGCCGCTGGTGGAAACTGACTTCTAAAATGGGTTGGAGTGGAGGCCCTACTATGTGCCAGTCACTGTGCTGAGCACAGCTTCATCCCTTACTTCATTTAATCCTTTCAAAAACCGCATTAAGCAAGAGTTAATAATATCTCCTTTTACTGATGCGATGTCATGGTGGAAAGTTAACTCACTTGGCTAAGGTCACAAACAAATGTGTTTGGGTCTTTCCAGCATTGTACTCGCCCCGCCTGCCCTCCTTCCAATTTATCACCCCTGCAAGGTCGAGGACTTTCTAGAACAACACACAACCCCTACTCCCTCCTCGCAGTTTCCAGCCGGACTGTACGTAATAACCCGATCGGGGAGCGGCCTTTTGAAGTCGCGCTGGCCGCGCCCGATGCGTCGCTAGTGACGTCATCACGCAGGGCCGAGGCGGCGCGATCACGTTCTTTAAATACGGCCTTGCTAGAGCGCGCGACAGTGCAAGGAGTGGGATGGAGTGTGCATGGAGTGGGGCTCGTGCTTGGGGCCAGAGCCCGGCGGACCGCGAGGTGGGCAGAAAGGCTGCTTTGCAGCCGAGACGCGAAAGGAGGGCGCTGCCCTGCGGGCGGGCGCGCTCGGACCGGGGCGGGAGGAGGGAACATGGCGGCCCCACAGCCGGGCCGGGCCCCTCCGACGCGACCCCCTCCTCCGGCTGTGCTCGCCCCTTTCCCTGCCTTCCTGGAACCTTGTTTCTCCTTTCGTCCCCTCTCCCTCAGCCATGCCTTTTGCCTTCATCGGCTCTCCCTCCCCAGCCCCACACTGGGTGAAGTGTGAGAGGTGGGTTAAGGGGACGCCGGTCGGGCCCGTCGGGTACCGAGAGACCCAACTTCTAAATTTGGTAGCTTCTCACCTACCGCTTTGATCAGTCTGCCCCGGGTGACAGGAGAGCGCCACACAGGGAGTGGGCAAGCTAGATTTGTAGTCCTGGCAGTTCCTGTAAGTGATCCTGAGAAATGTCACTTACGTTGCCTGGACCTCAGCCTCCTCCGAAGAGAGGTTCTCCTTGAAAGAGTCTTGATATCCAGGGAGCTTTTGTCCTGCATGGCTTGGCAAAATATGCCCCTTTACAGTGTATGGTTGGGAAAACAGAGGCGAGATTTATTTTGTCAGTAAGGGGGTCGGAGGGAGCTGCAGTAAGACATATAGCTCCATGCCATAAGGTGATCTAGCATGTAAGCAACGAAAACACCATCATGCTGCGACTCTTCTTTCTCAGAGAGTGTCCCCAGAGTGACATTCCTAGAGTAAGGTAAATGGAGAAGGACTCATCCTACATCAACATTGGGAACAAGCATCGGTCTGCTGTCCTCTGTTTTAGGTGTCTGTCGGTTGAGGGTAGGTGTCAGGAACAGGTTCCTCCTCACCTGAGTTAACAGCATCTGGCCCAGCCAGTCATCTGCTTTTGATCTTGACCTTTTGTTTTTCCTCAATTGAGTGTAGATTCGGGATAAAATCCTGCCTCCGCTGGACCCTGCACTGCCAGGCAGCAGAATTCTGACCCAGAGTGAAGCAGAAATCTAGGAATATGAGCTCCATGATGGCCATGGGTGAACCAAGGCTGAACTGGTGAGTGACATCTGTTTGTAATCCCCTAAACAGAACTGAAGGGGAGCTGGTGGCTGGATTAGGAAAGGTTTCTGGCCTGGAGAGATTTGGAGGAAACAGGTGGCTCAGAACGTACCCCATTCTCATCATCACATCCTGAGCACTTTTGAGTTACAGCTGCCTGCATTTCCTCCCCTAAGGAGATGACAATTAAGCACTCACATTGCTAACAGCTATAACTCCATCATGTATTTGTTGTTGGTCTCTAAGTGAAGGAGAGATGCTGGAATTATCTTGTGTCTGGGAACCTTGCCCATTTCTGTGCCAGTAATAAGAAGATCCTCTTTAAGAATAGACAAGTTTCCTTTTGTTATATTGAAATCTGTATCAAGTGATAATGTAAATGCATAGATTATATTTTAGAAGTGTATGAGAACTTCACAAATAGAGGACTAAGTAATACAGTGGCTTTGTAGAGATCTAACTAATACATGGGCTGCTTTAGATCAATTTAGCGTTTACTGAGCATCTACTCTTAGCTAGTCAAGGAGAATACAAAAGTTAGTACTGAAGAGATTACAAAGATGATTAAAATAGTAAGTGACTCAAAGAATAGTATGTGCTCGGTAAGTATTTGTTTATTGCAGACAATGGTCCCTTTCACCAGGAGCTCACAGTCCCTGAGTCCCATGACTTTGTTTTAGTATGATATGCAAAAACCGTAGAATTTAATGAGATCTCACAGATAGAGTACCATAGCAAGTAATAAGAAACTACAGTGGTGCATAGCAAGTAAGACATTATGATTTTACCATTTATACCATAATCATAGTTTTTTGGATAAAGGCCTTTAAAAACAGTAAGAAATGGATATGGAGCAAATATGCTAAGAGTTTCCCATCTGGGGATTGGGGCAGCCAGAAGTTGCCATTTGATTAGATTGTTCTGTTGTAAGTTTTAAGAGGCATGCACATTTATGTTCCTTGCCATAAAGAATGTTCCCATGCAGCACAGATGTTCTTATATACCATTGACATTGTGAAACCAGATGTGGTCTAGAGCCTTTGCACAGTATTGTGTCCCTTGAAACTATCCTTTTCCACAGAATCCTACTTATCTTTGTCTTCCCTAGATGAATGGTTCTCAGTGGTTTTAATTTTTTAATTCCTTCATTTAACCAGCACTTTTTGGATGCTTACTATATGGAAAGCATTGACTATAATACATTAGTCTGTAAATGAATTATGATGTTAGGGAAAATCATATATGACCCTAGAAGTGGTTTTAGCAGAGGCACACCATTTATCACATTTGCCAAGTTAACAAAAATAAGTAGGATATTCAGTCTTTGTGGTGTCTTTTGGCCCGGCGCAATAGTGCATGAAACAAAAATAAGTTGAGCAGCATTTTCTTTCAACAGTCAAACATCTTAATGTTATTCCACAGAGCCTGAGGTGAGCCCTGCCCCGACAGACCCTTTATTGTACTTCAGTCTGTTCAATCTTTAACTCTCGAGTATCTCTCACATTTGATTGGGTTCTAAAGGAAAAAGCAAGGCTGATTGTGGAAGTGGGGAATGTTAGAATGGGCTTGGGCTAAAAGCTACCCAAGAAGTAAAACACTAAACTCACACATCTGGTACATAAAATTATTAAAAGTGTGATTGTCTGGGAAAGGGGGTGTAGAGGACATGTAGTTAGAAATTACAGTTGTACCATTATGCTGCTTAATCTAGCTTGAAATTTTGAGTTATCAAATGCAAGTAAATTACTTTGTTTCGCAGGGATGTTTCCCCAAAAAATGGCCTTAAGACATTTTTCTCTCGAGAAAATTATAAAGATCATTCCATGGCTCCAAGCTTAAAAGAACTGTGCATTTTATCTAACAGGTAATATGTTTGTTTGGTTATTTATGTCCATATTTGTTTTTTTCTGATAGTTGAAGTTCTATATCTATATCTACTATTAAATATTCAAATTACAGAAATGTAAAAATTAGAAAATAGAACCCAATGCCTGAAGATAACCACTCTTTGGTGTATATGTATATATCTTTTCAGACCTTTCTCCACACACAAACAGATATATATTAAAATAAAGATGGGATCATACTATGAATACTGTAAATACTATAAACCTGTTTTTCGGTTTGCTTTTTTTCATTTAAGGTAGTATTTCATGTATCTTTCCATGCCTCTACGTATAGCACAATCGTCTTACTGGTTGCATACTACTTCATTATATAGATGAACTTTTAATTCATTTAGTTAGTCCTATATTGCAAAATGTTGTGTTCTTTTTTTGCAGTTATAAACAGTACATTGATGAATTTCTTGTAATCATTGCTATAAGATAAATTCATATCTTTGGTCAGGTGGTATATAAATTTTGTACTTTAATAGATACTGCCAAATTCCCGGAGATTTTTTTTCCTCTCTGGTGTGAAAATGCCTATTTAGTGATAATTTTCCCTTCCCACTGCTTGCTTGCTATAACAGCTCTTCTTTCCTTTGTGATTGGCTGTTTCCACTCTATTGTGGATGAATCTTGAAACCAAGTAATTGGGTTTACCAGAAAGAAGTGTGAATATTCCAAATGAAGATTTGGGGAACACCCTTAGGGGAGCTCAACATCCACTTTCATTCTTTCTCCACTCCTTTTGCATATTTCCAGCCTCTGCATCAAATGGGACCCCATCTTTTCCTTCTCAGTACCCTTTCTGTCAATTAGTATCCCCTCTTACTCCTGTATCTTCTTTTTCTCTTGATCAGTATTTAAATGTGCTCAAGTTTTTCCTGACTCAGTCCCTTGGACTCCACTTTCCCTCCTGGTTACTTTCTTACCTCTTCTCTCATTTGTACTTAAACTTCTTTAAAGACTTGTATATACTTGCTAGGAGGAAATGGAGAACAAAAAAGCTAAAACACATACAGAAAACAATTAACAAAATGGCAATAGTAAGTCCTTCCCTATCAATAATTACTGTAAATGGATTAAAGTCTCCAATCAAAAGATAGATTGGAAGAATGGATTGAAAAAACAAGATTAAAAAAACTTCCCTGGGGCTGGCCCGGTGGCATAGTGGTTAAGTTTGCGAGCTCTGCTTCAGTGGTCTGGGGTTTGCAGGTTCAGATCCTGGGCACAGACCTACACACCACTCAAGCCATGCAGTGGCAGGAGTAAAATTGGCACAGATGTTAGTTCAGGAACAATCTTCCTCAAGCAAAAAGAGGAAGATTGGCAACAGATGTTAGCTCAGGGCCAGTCTTTGTCACCAAAAAAAAAAACCCACCAAACGCTCCACAAAATTTCCCTCTCTGCACATACCACTGCTCTTGCTTTCACTGAACATCCCACTCTAATCTGGCTTCCACCCTCACTAGTCTATTAAAACTGCTCCTCTCAAGATCATCAGTGAGCTCTTCTCTATGGCGATATCTCATTCTCATAGTTTTCTGGTGACTATGGTATTTCTCAGCTCTTTTGCCATCTTCATCTTCAGGCTTACCATACTGGCTCATCAGACTGGAGCTTTTTTAAAGTACTGATTTTGCACTCTCAAGCCAGTCTTTTGAATCTAAACCTTTGGGGATGTGTCTATGGAATCAATTAATTGGCCCCACTGATAATCATTTAGGTTGTTTCCATTCCTTTACTATTACGATGAGCATCCTTTTTATACATGTACTGGTATAAGTAGAATAAATTCCTATAAGAGGAGGATATGTGTTTTTTATTGATAGGTATTGTCAGATTGCCATTAAAAAACTGTAAACAAGTGCTTTTTTGATCCCATCAAATTAGTAGATAGGTTCACTTAAAAGAAAGGCAAAGTTGTATTAAAGAGACAATTTCAAAAATTAATGTTTTAAAGAGGTCATTTTAGAAGCAACATTCTTCTTGCCAAAGTGCATGATTATAATGTCTTTGCTAATATCAACTATAGAAAGTTAAGACCATAGATCATTTATGAATGTGCATCTATGGAAATTTTTTAAAAGCTATTTCTGTTATCCAACTTGGTACCATTTCTTGGAGGTAATTAATTTCTTAAAACTTAATTATCAGTTAAATAAAGTAAGCATTGCCTTTGTTTACTTGAGTCAAAGAATGCCTACCAGTTGTAGTGGCCTGGGATTTAGTGAACATGTATCTTTACCTTTTTTAAAAATAATTCCGCACTGTTTCATGAGCTTTTATCTCTGTCTTCATCTTTTCAGACTGAAAAATCTTGTATTAATCTTCTTCATCCTGTCACTGCTTCTTAATTATTTTAGTGGTTCTTTTCTAGTGCAGGTCTGTTCAACACACCCCCGGTGTAGGTTATAGATTATGTACGAGAAAGGACATCTTGCTGGCAGTTGGGTATACCTAATCCCTAGTCTTTTTTTCTTTGAATATGCTTGTTTTCCTTAAGATTTCTATATAGCAAAAAATAATTTAGTAGTATAATTTACCTTGTAGTATAGAAAAAATAAAGATGCAAGGCATCGATTTCTTATGTTTCTAGTCTTTCTTGCTAGCTTAAGTTTTACTAAATTTTGTTGTAGTAAATAATGGTTTTCCAGACTATATTGATTTACAACTGTTTTCTTGGTGGAAAAACTAGGAAGAATGTAACATTTTTATTAGCCCTAATTTTGTATTTTTTGTGTTCTTTAACAATTGGGAAAATATTGATACCTCTAATTATGCAGCTTTCAGCAATAGGAAGTTTTTATTCAACCCTTCTCCCTCCACTGAAAGGTAAATGTTTACCTTCTTTTAAATTAAAGTTTCTGATTGTAGATATTTATAACTGAGTTTTAAGTCAACAAGGAGGACAGTAGCTTCCAATACAAAAAAAAAATTGTGAAATTTTAACATGTTTAATATAGAAAGTGAATCAAATCCAGGAGGTACAGGTAGACTCTAGAAGCCCATTTCCAAAGGCTGCTGAAAGAAACGACCCGAGCCGGTAGACTTAAACCACAGGAAACGAAAAGTTTTGAATTCTGTCCTTTTTTCATCGAAACTTTAAGTAAAAAAAGAGAACGGGTAGCTGACAAAATGAAGGGGGAAAACTTCAAACCATCAGCTGAAATAAAATATAATGCTGTAAAGGTGGATTGAGAAGCCCTGTCAGATGCTCTTGGCTTGCACCCTGATGAAGATTTTGACAGCATTGCACATGGAAATGATCTTGATGTGCTGCCATTTTATTCTTTGCTGAATGTAGCCAATTTAAACTGCTAGAATTTCTTGACATTCCTACTCTGGCGTATCTGAGTCAGCATCTTGTTGCTGCAGCAGCTTAATTAAATTTGCCAGTTTGTGCCACAAGGACAGACGTGTTCTCATATTCAGAGAGACAGCTGTGAAGCAGTATTGTTAAGAGTTGCAGACACAATACTGTTAGGTTTGAATAGCTCTCTAGACATTTTTTAGTGAGAAATCAATTTGCTGTAATACATTTCTCCCAAGATCAGCAGTTAATATTCATTTTGTTAACCTAAAATATGCTTATTTTTATACAGTTACTGGAGAAACTTTAGTAGCTAAGTATGTCTTCTTTTACCTGTATTATTTTCAGAACTAATCTAAACATCCTTATTTTAATTTCCAAAATTCTTTTCCCGTTCACTAACCAGCTCTTTTGATTAGTTTTCCATTCATTTAGTTTAGTTCTAAAAGGGTTCTCTTGAATATTTTGCTTTATTTGGGGGCCCTAAGTCTTTTTCTAAGAATTTTAGAATTTTTACCATATTTATTTTAGTGTTGTAAAGTTGATTGAAAACAAATCAGTGGTAGTTTTAGATAGGAGCTTAACTCACCCTTTGTCCAGACACAGATCTAGGTTGGTAATTCTCAACCTTATCAGGCCAAAACCCTCCCACTTTTCCTAACAAATGTTTATAAAAAATAAGACCTCCTTTACTAGCCTGAAGTGAAAATTCATAGATAATAATAACTACAGACTTAATATTTAAAAATAATGTCCTAGCTATATAAACGTGAAATAAAAGGAAAATAATTTATAACATATATTTTAATGTGTAAATACATAGATACTACTACCTTAGAAGATATAATGAAGTAGTCAGATGCCCCAGCTATAAGATTAAGGTTGGATTTAAGAGAAGTAAGATAAACTATACCATACAAAAATCATAAGAAAAATAAAAGAGAATAAAATATATTTTTAAGGTAAGTAATAGCAGACCAGACTTACTTATGAATGATAAGAGAAAGCCTGAAGGGACTTTTGAAAGTTGTGCAGGACACAATCATACATTGCAGGCATCTAGTATTCCTCACTTCTAAGTGTCTTTAATTCTCTCCATCTTTTGTGACAATCCAGATGCACCCACAGGCTTCCAGAGTGTCCTGAGGGAATTAATACTGTCATGATTGAGAACCTCTGCTCTGTTTATTTCTTTCCCCTCCCGTTTCTCCCTCTTAATCCCTAATCTCCATGTCCTTAGGATTCTCCTCAGTCGCCTATTCAGTATGTTCAGTTTAGAAACCTGAGATTTCCACAGTCACATTGTATTGATGTACATATTTATTTTTCTTTTTTCTCCATTCATTTTTCTGATCCACTTGATTATAAGGTCCTAGAGAGTAGAGACTGTATCATGCTCAATGTTGGTCCTGTCTCCAGTACCCAGCATAAGGCTGGCACATGGTAGTCACTCATTAAATATTAATGAGTCACTCAGTAAATATTAATTCATGCGTATACTTGTTTTTCTTAAGATTGAAGAATGAATCAACAGAAATCCATCCTTCTCATTAGTTTCCCTTCCTCTTGTGTTATTGTTATTTAATTTGGAATCAAATCATAGGGAACAGTTACTGTGGTGGAAATTGGAGTTGTAGAGGCTAAAGAAATGTACTTTTGTGTGTATCTATGTAGTTTAAAACACCCTTGTTAAAAATGTAGATTTCAACAACTGAAAAGCAGGAATAGAGACAGATTATAAACAAGATAAGAAATTTGTATTCCTATACTTTAATTAGGGTGGAGAGGTGATTTTTAAAAAAATTTAGGGGAAGCATTTCATAAACAAATATGTAACAGGTTCTCTAGCTACTCACTACTTTCTCTAGTGCATTTCATTTTAGGTATGCTGAGATCTCCCTTTTGTATCCATACAAAACACAGAGACATTTCCATGGACTTGGCCATGTACATGAGTGATAGAGGATTGTACAACTTTTCTTAAACCACTATTGCTTACATAAAACATGGCACACACTTTTGGAATTTTCTTTTTAATTCTTGACATAATTAAAGTAGAGGAAACTAGAAAATTTAGAATCTCAGTGAGAATTTGTGAATTTCAAGTTAGTGACCCCATCATATCCTGCTCTTAGTGGCTTCTGTTCACCCTGTTAACTGATATATCTTACTGAAGAATTTAAGCATTAAAAAACAACTTGCATTGTAATAAAATATAAACACGAAATACCTGCATACATAATTGGCAAGAATGATTTACTCTTCTTCATAAAGAGAAAAAACTTCCAAATTGAATAACTTGTCTAAGGATTATGCCTCTTCCTCTCCATCAGATAATTGAAGGTAAGCTAGTAATGTGATCCTGTCCTGCAGAATACTTAATTTACACCAGATAGCTAAACATCAAAATGCAGGTGGCAGAGTTAGATAATAATCCAGAATTTACTGTGTTAATCACGCTATATTCTCCGTGGTGATTGAGAATCATGCCGTTCCATGATAGTAATCTTCATGCGAAAAGCACATATTTGTAAATTGTGTTTTTTTTTCCAGACGTATAGGAGAAAATTTGAATGCCTCAGCAAGTTCTGTAGAAAATGAGCCGGCAGTTAGTTCAGCAACTCAAGCAAAGGAAAAAGTTAAAACCACAGTTGGAATGGTCCTTCTCCCAAAACCAAGAGTTCCTTATCCTCGTTTCTCTCGTTTCTCACAGAGAGAGCAGAGGAGTTATGTGGACTTGTTGGTTAAATATGCAAAAATTCCTGCAAATTCCAAAGCTGTTGGAATAAATAAAAATGACTACTTGCAGTACTTGGTATGTATTTTGTTCTTTAGCTTCAATAAAAATATTTAAGTTAGGGAATATTTTAAATCTGCTTTTATGCTTTTGGGTGCAATCACGTTAACGAAAATGAGAAATTTAAGGAGTTTAATTTGCAGAGCATTGGTGCTTTAATTCTTTTGTTGGTTCTATTGTAGTTCAGACATCTTGCTCTAGTTCTGAGCGTATTTCACTCCAGTTCATCTTAAGTACTAGCAGTAAAACTTTACATTGCTCGTTGAACCAATTTTAAATTTTTAATTATTACTTTAAGTAGTTTCCAAATTCTCAATTATATAAATGATGGTGTGCTGAACATCTTTGTTGCAAACTCTTTGTTCATATTTATGATTGTTTCCTTGAGATAAATTCTTAAAAATATATTTGTCAGATCAAAAACTATACGTATTTTTAAGGCTTTGATCTATAGTGGCTCATGGGTAAATTGTTCTGCAAAACATTTAAACCAGTTTGTTTGTACCACTGTTGTATGAAGGGTTTTTTAAAACAAAGATCTTCTCTAATACTAGACATTCCCTTTTTTACCTGTAATTTGATGTGGAAAAAATGGTGATCCCTTGTTGTACATTAATTTACAGTGATTACTAATGAAAATAAACATGTTCCATGTGTTTATAAGCTATTTCTTATTTCTTCTTGCCTGTTCATATTGTTTACTCATTTTTCCATTTGGGTGTTTGTCCTTTTTAATATTAATTAAGAGCATTTTATAAAATAAGCTTATTAATTCCTAAGCATGTTTTAGTCATTTGCTTCTCCATTTTTGTGGAGTTTTTAATAACAAGTTTGTCATTATATAATATTTTTATTTTTTCTTTTTGGTTTCTGCTTTGGATATACTAGTTTAATTATCCTTTAAGTCCAACTTATTAGAGCAATGATTGAGAAGTGATTGTTTTTAACCAAGCTTCTTATTCCAAGACGTCTACTTTTTTGAAAATCAGGATATGAAAAAACATGTGAATGAAGAAGTTACTGAATTCCTGAAGTTTTTGCAGAATTCTGCAAAGAAATGTGCACAGGATTATAATATGCTTTCTGATGATGCTCGTCTCTTCACAGAGGTAAAACACAAAAAAATCACATTTACTTAAACTACCAAGAAATAGGCAATAGCGGCATTTTAAAATGTGTGATGGTCCTGCCAACAGCATATGGAAATATCAATATTATCAATTTATGGAGATAAAATTATAGGTCTTTTGTTCATCATGTATTTAAATAATAGAAACACTAACACCTGAAAAACCAGGTACTGTAGTATATCCCTATTTGGATTTTTTCTTTTAATGATCCAACTACTGTATTTGAGTTATTTTACTCTCATGGGTGGTTTGATCTGATGCACTGATTTTCCTTGCAAGAGAATGGGTGTTTAAGGGGTTATCTTGGTCCTTAAAAATCTGAATGGGCCTTAGTCACATAAATTTGTATTCATTATCTTCATGGTAACCAGCCACCAAATGATAAGTTTCAACTATGAGTTCATTTTTTGATACTTGAATTCTTCGTGCACCTTTATTAGCAAAGCATGTAAATCACTTTACTGTCATTTAGTGGGCCTAGGAGAAATTTAGAGTACGTACTTAAATAGTAGTTATTAATATATTTTATTGTAGTAGAGTTCATCTACAAACACCGACGCCAGTCTGAATTTTTTTAAGCCTTTAAAACTAGTCACTGTATACAACAATGTGATACATTTAACACTATTGAACTCTGCGCTTAAAAAATGGTTAAGATAGTAAGTTTTCTGTGTATTTTACCACAAATTAAAAAAAAGCAAACTGGTCACTATAATTTGGGGGACAGCAGAGAGTATTAGTTTGACCTTTTAAAAAAAAACTTTTTAAGGTGAAATTTTGTTAATATGAACCAGAAGAATGAATCTTCTAAATAAAAGGAAAGATTCCATTTTCTCTGAACCTAAATATGATATACTAAAATTCAGTGTCGTATTTTTCTATATGAAAAAGGAACTAGCTGTAGGTGTTCCTGTTTTAATAGTGCCTTTGAAAGGACCAGAGTGATGGTTTTAAAACATAAATCACCTCCCCTCATTTCACTGGTTTCAAATGGCTCCTCATCTCACTCAGGAAGAGACAGTCATTACAAAGTCCTGTAGTGCCCTGATCAGGCCTCCCCACCACCCCCGCCTCCCCCCCGGCCTGTGTCTCTGCTACACATCTCCCTCTCAGTTGTTCCACTCCCACCTGCTGGCCTCTTTATGTTTCTTGAATACTCCAGGCGTGATCCTGCCTTAAGGCCTTTGACTTTTCCCAGCTTTCTGGCAAACTGTCCTCCAGATATCTACATGGATTAGTTCCTTGATGCCTTTAAGTCTCTCTCTGTTCAGATGCCAACTATCAATTAGGATGCCCCTAATTACCCTATAAAAAATTGCATCACCCTCAGTGTCCCCTTTACCATGTTTTATTTTCATCGTCTTTCTCCACAACGCCTATATGTAAGTACTGTTTTGTGCACTGCTGTGTTCCCAATGACTAGAACAATGCCTAGCACGGAGTAAGTGCTCAAGTGCTCAGTGTAATTATTTGTTAAGTGAATCTTAAAAAGCTTACTAACAAAGTACAGTATTTGGCAGCTAATAATCAGCATTAAGTCATTTTTTTTAGCCAGATTGACTTGGCAGCACATTTTCTCTAATTTACATTTTACATCTCCACCCCAGAGTCAGCGATATATTTTTCTAATTTTTTTTACTGTTTTAAAACTTTGTTTATATTATTAAATGTAATGCACCTATGGAAAAGTATGTGAAACAAATATATACAGTTTCACAAATAATTAAATAGTGAACACCTATGTGACTCTAAGTCAAGAAATAAAACGTTCCCAGTAACCCAGAAGCCCCTGTGTCTCGCTCCTGTATGAAGTAATAATGCTGTCCCAAGTTTGGCATTGATGATTTCCGTGCCTTTCTTCCTGGTAGTTCTCCTAGCTCTCTTTTACTTGCTTTTGAATTTTATGTGAACAGAGTCATTTTGTTCTTTTATGTGAACAGAGTCCTTCCCTCTTTCACTCAATATTATGTTCGTGAGATTTGTGTGTATGTCTGTGGTTGTAGTTCATCATTTTCATTTCTGTACATTATTACATTATATGAATAAACTGCAATTTATTCTGTTGATCCAAATTTGGATTGTTTCCAGTTTGGGGCTATTCTAATGCTCCTATGAAAATTCTCACGTCTTTCGATGCACATGTGCACGTATTTCTGCTGGGTATATACCTAGAAATGGAATCATTGGGCCATAGAGTATGCATATCTTAAACTAGTAGATAATGTCAAACTGTTTTCCAAAGTGGTTATAGCACTCTACGTTCCAGCCAGCAGGGTTTGAGAGTTTTATTGCTCCATATCCTCAACAGTTGATGCAAGTCATTTTAGTTTTAGCCAGAGGATATGGTGCTACATATATAATAACACTGTGCACCTTTCATTTGTTTATTGGTTATTTCTTGTCAATTGACTGTTCAAGTTTTGCCCTTTATTCTACTGGATTTTCTGTCTTTTGTTATTGATATGTGAAAGTTCTTTATATATTCTAAATACAAAAATTGTATGGGTTATATATGTTGGAAGGTTTTTCTTTTATTTGATAAAACGGTCTCTTTTAATCTACAAATTCCTCCTTCCTCCCTTTCGTTTCTTTAAAGTTTATCTCTTCAAGAACCTTGGTCATTTGACTTGTAGAGTTTCTCACAGCTTAGATTTTGATGATTGCATATTCATGGTGATGTTCAACATGTTCTTCTTTTAGCTGTATTTCTTACAAATTGTCAGTGAGGTCCAGAAGCTTGATCAGAATTAGTCTTGCCAGAGAAATTGAACACACAGATCGTAGTGTATTCTTTAATCATGTGGCACGTAATGTCTGGTTGTTTCTTTTCTTTTCTTTTGTGTTTTTTTTTGGGGGGTTTTAAGAAAGATTAGCCCTGAGCTGACATCTGCTGCCAATCCTCCTCTTTTTGCTGAGGAAGACTGGCCCTGAGCTAACATCCGTGCCCATCTTCCTCTCCTTTGTATGTGGGACACCTACCACAGCATGGCTTGCCAAGCGGTGGCATGTCTGCGTCCAGGATCTGAACCGGAAAACCCCGGCCCGCTGAAGTAGAACGTGTGCACTTAACCACTGTGCCACCAGTCCGGCCCCTGGTTGTTTCTTTTTTGTGATGTTAGTAGCTATTGATGCTCAGTGCCTAGATCCATTCATTTACTGGGGTTTGCATAATTGTAAGGTTCTAACTCTGTCATTAATTTTTATTTGTTAGTTGGAATAATTTTATTACGATATGTTTTCCCTCATCTGCTCTTTGGTTTCTCAGTTCATGTAGCAGAAACAATGCTAGATTGTTTCCCTTTATATATCAGTTTTGAAAAAATTAATTGGTTCCTTTTTATTCTCCAATGGTGATCAGTGTTTTCTTTTTTAAAAATATTGTTATTAAATCATGGAGTTAAACATATTTGATGGGTTTTAGTCCACTACAATTACCCTTTTTTATTTTGTAAGGAAGATTGTCCCTGAGCTAACATCTGTGCCAATCTTCCTCTTTTTGCTGCAGGAAGATTGTCCCTGAGTTAACTAACATCTATGCTCATCTTCCTCTATTTTGTATGTGGGATGCCGCCACAGCACGGCTTGATGAAACAATGCACAGGTCCATGCCCAGGAGCCGAGCCTGCAAACCCCAGGCCACCAAAGTGGAGCATGTGAACCCAACCACTGTGCCACCCTGCTAGCCCCTACAGTTACTCTTTTTGAATCTCAAATAATACCGACTTTGGCCAGTGACAGGCTCTTCATTATTGGCTTTTGAGTCACTCCAGTAGTCCTTGAGGCTCGTTTTGTACATTTCTTGTTCCAGCCCTGGAATCAGCCATTTTCTAAAAGATCCCTTATTTCTTTTAGTGGAAAATGGTATTTCAAGACTACCATCTGGGCACTAGGATGCTCATTGCTCCTGGGTTGGTCATTGTTTCTGAGACTATTTCAGCAGATGGGGCTAGGAAATATATATTTAAAGAAAAAATGCCATGTATGATGTCTCATTTGCTTTGTCCCACATACTCACAACAGCTTCAGAATACCAATACTAATACTACTGATCAATAGGATTACTGAAAAAAGAAAAACAGTTTGAAAAATGTTTTTGTATCTTCTCCCCTACTTTTTTTTAAAAGGTTGTACTATATATTGTTAGATGTGTAGCCATTACATACTGAGTGAACTCTCTCTTTTTTTTTTTTTGCTTTTTCTCCCCAAATCCCCCGAGTACATAGTTCTATATTTTAGTTGTGGGTCCTTCTAGTTCTGGAATGTGGGACGCTGCCTCAATATGGCCTGATGAGCGGTGCCACATCTGCACCTAGGATCCGAACCGTCGAAACCCTGGGCCGCTGAAGCAGAGCGCGCCAACTTAACCACTTGGCCATGGGGTCGGCCCTGAACTCTCCCTTTTTAATCCACATTTAATTTTTAAATTAATTTTATTGAGGTATAATTTATGTATGGTATCCTTTTTTTTAAAAAAAAATGTTCACCCTCAGTTAACATCTGTTGCTGGTCTTTTTCTTCTTCTTTTTCTCCCCAAAGCCACCCAGTACATAGTTGTGTATTCCAATTGTAGTCCTCCTAGTTCTGCCATGTGGGATGTCACCTCAGCATGGCTTGATGAGCGGTGCTAGGTCCGTGCCTAGGATCCAAAGTGGAGCACATGAACTTAACCACTGGGCCATGGGGCCAGCCCTCTAAGTCTCCATTTTAGGTGCATGTCAGTGCATTTTGACAAATGTCTACTCTTGTGTAACCATAACCACAATCATGATATGGAATATTTCCATCACACTAAAAAGATCTCTGTGCCTCTTCCCATCCGTGGCCCCAGGAAAGCACCAATATGCTTTCTGTCACCATGGATTAGATTTGCCTTTGCTAGAGTTTCATAAAAATTGAATCACATACAATGTACTCCTTTTTGTCTGGCTTCTTTCACTCAGTATGATTTTTGAGAATCATACACATTGATCTAAGTATCT